ATGTGTGCACGCGCGCCTGTGCGAAGGGGGAAGTAGAGCTCGGGGCATAGCAGCAGGAGGCCATTCAGCCCCGCAGGGTCGGCTAACGTGATCATCCTCAACCCCCACTTTCCTGCTTTCCCCCGTAACCCTCAATCCCCTTCCCGATTTAAAAACATGTCTGCGTCGGGCTCTCGGGAAAAGGCTGGGGGACGTGGGGCCGAGGGAATACAGGGCTGAGGGGAGAGAGAACAGGAGATGGGGCTGGGTGGAAGCAGTGCAGACGCGGGGGGGCATACGGGGCCGAGGGGAGGGAGCACGAGGGGGCAAACGGGGCCGAGGGGAGGGAGCGCGGGGGGGCGAACGGGCCCGAGGGGAGGGAGCGCGGAGGGGCGAACGGGGCCGAGGGGAGGGAGCGCGGAGGGGCGAACGGGGCCCAGGAGTTGAACGAACTGATTAGCCTCCCCCTCTCTTTCTGTTGCAGCGAGGACCTGAGCAGAGCCTCTCTTGGAGCGCCGGCCCCTCCCATGGGGGGCCTGTGGGCAGCCGTTCCTGGCTCTGTGCCGCCCCCTGTAACTGAGCAGCGGGAGGAAGTTTCACGAAGGCCTGGATTGGCCTGGCGCAGCCTGAGCATGGAGCAGCCGAGCTGCGTGCCGGCATCCAGGCCAGACAGGCGCTTGTCGGAGCTGGGGGCAGTGCCCGGGTCTCGGGGGCCCTGGGCCTGTGCCAGCTGCGGCCTGGTGAACGAGGGCCGGGCCGTGCTGTGCGGGGCCTGCGAGAGGCCTCGGGCAAGTCCTGCCCCCGCGGCGGCCTCCTCCTCTGCCGCTGCCCCGAGGGAGGGCTGGGCCTGTCGGGCTTGCACCTTCCAGAATGAGGCCTGTGCCGTGCTGTGCAGTGCCTGTGATAGGCCTCGCCTGGCCGGTAGGCCCAACGTCGCCGTCACCACGACAACCAACTCCATCCTCCAGCAGACTCTTCCACCACCGCCCTCCCAGCAGCAGGTAGCCATCATGGAATGTCCTTCCCTCACTCCCTTCCCTCACTCCC